CTCTGTCTCTCTCGCACTCGTGGGGCGTCCCGTACAGGTGCGAGGGGGACAGAGCGACGAAGACGACTCTCGGAAGCAGTCTGCGGAGACAAAACGGCGCGCCGAATATTGCATGACGGGGAGGGTCGACCTGGGGGTCATCGCGGACGTCCTTGACGGCAAGGATGACGACGGGCAGCTTGACGACCGCCAAGGCGGCTGATTGACTTGGGCCCTTGTTTGCATAGGGCTGGGGCCCACAGCGCCTACCGCAGGCGATTCCCAAACGGCGCTCTGTCTCTCTCCCACCCGTGCGGCACGCTCCGCGAGTGCGAGAGAGACAGAGCGACGCGTCGAGGAATCAGCTCGAAGGGCCCACGGGGCGCGACTCCCGTTTAAATTGAATGGACCTCTGATTAATGCCCGCAAATTGAGGTGTGGGTGCGTCTGGCAGGCCAGTGTAGTGCGCCACGCGGCCTCGAGCCTCGAGCCCCGACAGTGATGTGGACTTTGGACACTTGGAATGGGACTCGGAGACGCTGGGCCTTGCGGCCTTGCGGTGTGGTCGGCCCTTCGGCCGCCATTGTGGCTGCCAATCTCGGTTCGTCTCTCTCGCACTCACGGGGCGTGCTCAAAACGCGTCCAGAGTTTTGTCCGCCTCCACCGGTCTTCTGGCCCACTGTTCCTGGCCACCCTCGGGGTGCGGGCGCTGTCTCGTCTTCACAGTGCTGTCGACTGTGGCCCTGCGGTACCTGCCCATGCTCGCTGTGCCCCGCCGCTGTCTCTCTCGCACCCCTACGGCGCGCCCCGTGAGTGCGAGAGAGACGGAGCGACGCGCCCGGAAGCAGCCTGCAGAGGGTCCGTGACCCTCACAGGGGTCACGATGCTGCCTGCTGACTGATTCGGACTGTGATTGGTCGCTCTGTCTCTCTCGCGCATGTACGGAACGCCCTGCGAGTGCGAGAGAGACTCTCGGCAGGCAGGTGCTGGGGACACACCTCTCATGCTCTCATCGCCGAGGTGCAGTTCGTGCAGTTCGCCCGGCAGGCTGATGCCCCGTCTCTCTCGCACCCCCACGGGACGCTCCATGAGTGCGAGAGAGACAGAACGGCCTGCAGTCAAACGGCGATTAATTTGGCGGGAGAAAGTCGGTCGGCTGACGGTTACTAATGCGTGTTTGGACCCGTCCCGCCTGCTGGTGTGCCAGTGGCCTGCCGGTCCCCGCGCCGCCCCGCACAGTGGGCCAGAAGACCGGTGGAGGTGGACAAAATTCTAGACGCGTTTTGAGCTTCAGAGTCGCCAAACAGTGGTCGAACGGAACGTGTGACCCCCACCAATGGATTGCTCTCCGAACGAGGAATCCATTGGTGGGGTCACACGTTCGGATCGAGTCCCATTTAGCGACTCTGCAGCTCAAAACGCGTCTAGAGTTTTGTCCGCCTCCGGTCTTCTGGCCCACTGTGGCCCGCCCCGGTCGCACCGTCGCGTCGCACGACGCCGGTGGGTGGCGGGCCGAATCCGCGGGTGCCCCCGCCCCCATCTCTCTCGCACTCGTGGGAGGTCCCGGACCGGTGCGAGAGAGAAGGACTTGCCGCCGCACTGTCGCCCCGCGCGATTGCCGATATTGTCCGAAGCTTTTCAGTCACCCAGAGCGAACGAGCGGCACGGATTCACGCAGAGCGCGAAAAAGGTGGAAAAATGAAAAATGCCAGCTGGCCCGACCGGGAGTCGAACGCCGGATTCGCGATTCAGAATCGGCGCCTTTACGTCTTCGACTATGCTCCCGCATGAGACAAGGGACTCAATCTAGTGGCTGCTGTGATTTACGGACGGCCCCTCAATCACACGGGGCCCAAGTTCCGGACCTGCTCGCGTGGCGGGGTGGGGCGGGGCGACAAATTTGATAGAAATGAGGGCGCGTCAGGGGATTATCGTGTGCCTGTCGTAAAAAAACGAATAAAATGGGGGTGAAAAAGGAATGTCGGAGTGACGGCTAGTGATATGTTGGCATCACTGCGAATTGCGGTGGGGTGGGGTGGAGAGAGAGAGAGAGAGAGAGAGAGAGAGAGAGAGAGAGAGAGAGAGAGAGAGAGAGAGAGAGAGAGAGAGAGAGAGAGAGGTTGGCACTCCGTGATCCGATTGTGCCTGGGCTGACAGTCCGGACATCATTACGCCCTTGTCATAGCGGTAATATTCATTATTTCGATGGCTCGCTGTGTGAATGCACGTTTTTTGGCCGCTCGCCGTGCGTGATCGCTGTCGTAAATGCGGATTGCTCACAGAAGGAGTGAATCATTTTTGTGACAAAAAAGTGGGGGGACTTTGACGGATTATGCATGGATTTGGCGGTACGTAGTAAATTTCTTTCCATTGCGGGTTAGGGCAACGGTTTGGAGATATGGGTCCCGGATTTCTCCCCAAACGGCTCCCTTCTTGATCTCGCACCCCACTGGTATGTTTCGAACAAGCCCCGTGCGGTATGCCCGCTGAAATAATTCTGATGGTCATGAGCTGCAGGCCGTTGCGCGTCCAGTCCAGTAACAGCCCCCCCCCCCCCCCCCCCCCCCTCCGGCCGGGCGCAGAGGTCGGTAGGAAGGCTGGTGCGTCCACTGCGTTCTCGGAGCGAGATTCCGTATCAAATTTATGACGTCATGATGGCGTCATAAAGCCGACGGCGCGTACCCGGTACCTGCAGTGTACCTGTCGGTGCAGCCAATCAGGACATCGGCCAGGTGCGGGTCCAGGGCCGCCTAGAGTTGTGCTCTGTTTTTCCAGCTCCAGAGGGCGCCCGCGGAGCTGCGCGCACCCCGCCACGCCACGCCACGCCACGCCCGGCCACGCCGGCCCGCCCCCTTGGTCGAAGGCCAACCCAAACTCGCCTTAGTTATGCGCGTTATCGTCCGGACCCTGATTTGTGGCCGCTGATTGTCACAGGCAGTGAGGCCAGGGGCGGCCAGGGGCGGCGCGCCGGAGTCGCGGAGGGGGCGGGGCGGGGCTGCTGCTGATGACACCTTGTGTACCGCGGGGCCTAGGTGACCCCACTCAGCAAAAAGTAAAAATAATAAATAAATAAAAACGGGTCAAGCTAAAAAAAAATTTGGCTTCGACCACTGAACTTTAAGCCGCCATCATGCAATGCAACTTCGAGCAGCCTGGGGTAAATTGTCGTGAAAATGTCGTGACAATGTCGTGACAACTAGACGCTGTCGCAAAGCAAAGATACCCCAGAAAATTAAATTGAATCCGTTCCAATCACTCGTCCATTTTTGGACATGTTGGTTTTGGCGCCGTATGGGGCCGGGCCGGCCCACTGCAGTGTGGTGGTGAGGCGTTCGCTGGACGCAGGTAGTGGTTACCTGGCGGCGTGCTCGGCGACGTAATTGAGGTATTACCTCCTTAAAAGCCGCAATTACCCGTCATAATGCCAAATAAAAGGTGGCCGCAGTCGGAAGACTGTCGAAGACTGGCGATGGGGTGCAGAGAGGTCAGCCTATGCCGTCCTAAGAGAGAGAGACAGACAGACAGACAGACAGACAGACAGACAGACAGACAGACAGACAGACAGAGAATGAGAGACAGAGAGAACTTTGGCTATTTTTTTCCAAGATAACCTCTTTGCTTGCACGTCTTGTCTAAAATTGTTCATCACATTTATAGTGTCTGGCGTGTTCTTTGCCGGGTAAGCATGGCAGCCCATAGCGAGACCGTCAGACGGCCAATCGGTGGCAGGCATCAGTCTGCCCGCCGCACTGTCTGTCGGGGCGTGGCACCCACACTGTGGCACCCGGGGCACACTGTTCGAAAAAAGCGACAACATAACAAAAAATTGTTGCGTGGGGCGCGGTGTTTGAACCCCGACCCGGCCGCCGGCCCGGTGGTCGCTGGACAGTGGGCAGGTGGAGTGAGGGAGCGACGGGCGTCGGAATGCCGGGAAAATAGCAAATAAATCATAGGCGGCGGGGGCGGGGCACCGCCAGGGCACTGCGCGGCACTGGCGCGGAGGGCAGGTGGAGGAAGGAAAGAGGGATATGAGATGAAGAAGGACAGTAAATTAAACTTTCGGGGTTCCTCACAATGCCCCAGGTTTGATCCTTCACTCATGTTTATACATCCGGGCGGCGGCGGCGGCGTCAGCGGCGCGCGCTCGGGCCGCGGGTTCGAATCCCAGCACCGCTTTTGTTTCTAGAGTTGGCGGTACGGTAACGAAGCCGGTCGGTTGTCGGCGGTTGTCGGGCCTCTCATTAACGTCCCATGCCTCGTTTGTACCTCCCGAAATCATTTACACGCCGTCGGCTTTCTCTGGGCTTCAGTAAGTCACAGTCACTCACTCGTTAAAAGCTGCCGGCTGCCGCCGCTCGCCGCCGCGCGCTTTTGCACGATTTACGCCGCTCTTTTGTCTTTTAATACGCACCTCGGTAACGCCACTCGTAAATTCAAATTACGCCCAATTAGGAACTACTGCGTCTATTTCACTCCCGCCTCGCGATAATGCGGTGCCATCCTCCATAAAAAGGCGCCGTGTCGTCGTGGGGATGCCGCGCGGCGCCACTGTCAACTCTTCGATTTTTGACTTTTATTTTTTTTGGGAGAGTTCGGTCGTGTCCCAGATTGAAAGTTTCCCTCTGAGATCGATGGACAGACGTCCGCGGCGTCCGGGCCCGGAGATGGGTGTGGTCCGCGGGCCGTTCTCGTCTCGTAAATTATTTTTAATGAAAGGATTACATTAGTGTGCGGATCGGATAGTGGTGTGGGTGTGGATGGACAACACACACACACACACACACACACACACACGAATTTCACGTGGGCAGAATAAAAACGCAGGATGGTGCCTCGATTCCGTGTCTCGGGCCAGTCGCCCGATCCGATATGGCATGGCCCTAGCTCGGAGCTTGAAGCTTGGAGCTCGAAGCTCGAGCAGTGTTGCCGCCTCGTGCCACTCCTTATGGTGTGGCTCCACCTCTGCGTCTGTGGTCCTTTCTCTCGTCGTCGGCTTTTCGTTCATCGGGGACCGTTCGAACAATCAGGAAGGCGCTGATAACTGTCTGCACACTACAAATTTCCAGGACGTTCTCCGGGATGTCCTCCAGGATGTCCTCCACGATGTCCTCCACGATGTCCTCCAGGATGTCCTCAACGATGTCCTCAACGATGTCCTCCACGATGTCCTCCACGATGTCCTCCAGGATGTCCTCCAGGATGTCCTCTATTTTCGCCTGGCAGAGTGCTGTGTGTCCTGCGCTGGTACGCAAAACTAGTGCACGCTGCAAAGGGATTTTCCTCCCAAGCGCGCAATGAGACTCGGGGCCTTACTGCTACTGGCCCGCAAAGCAGTCCCCCCCCTCCCCTTCCCCCTCTCCCCCTGAGGAGGGGGCAGCATGCATCGTGTTGACACTTTCTTTTTCCTTCTTTTCTATCGTGCATGCGCAATGCTCGCCTCATTGTGCGGCATATTTCTCGGAAAGAAAGATTCGCTCTAAAGGGACGGTGCGTTTCTCTCTCTCTCTCTCTCTCTCTCTCTCTCTCTCTCTCTCTCTCTCTCTTTTTCTCTCCCCCCCCCCTCTCCCCCCTCTCCCCCTCTCCCCTCTCTCCCCTCTCCTCTTCCTCCCTTCTTCTTTGCGGTCCATCTCGTCCTCCTACGACCCGCCGGATCCCCAGTTTCAGGCTCCTGAACATCGAAACAGCTGAGCCTGCGTCTAGTTTCGAGGTTGAAATTTAGCTTGTTTGACCTTTGCTGCGTTGATAAAAATAAACAGTTAAATCCCGGAAAACAGTTGACAAGTCACAGAACATGAACGAAGTGCCATGGAAAGAGTATACGATCGAAAAGCGTGACAAATGTTGACGCAAGCGAGTGACTTCTGTTGCCCGCGAAGTGTCCCGATTCTCTCTCCAGCCCAGAGAGCCAGTCTCTCCTTTCTCTGTCACTCTGCTAATATCCATCTTCCTAACACGCTCCCCCGCCCCTCGCCCCACGGAGGCGTGCGCTAACGCGTTCGGGATATTTATATAAAATGATTATTTTTTTTTGGTCTTTTGTCTCGAGAGTATTTGTATGGTCGCTGTCCCCCTGGGCCCATTCTGATGTCTCTCACTGGTCGCCGTATGCATTAAACAAGGCGAGCGAGAGAGAGGGAAGGAGGGAGAGAGAGAGGGCGGCGGAGCGTGCGGGTGGAAGAGAGAGAGAGAGAGAGAGAGAGAGAGGCGGGGCCGTACTCTACCTTTATTTCGATTCCACGTATCGTCCAAATAGCAGTGGCGTACTTGGTACTCTGCAAAAGTCAGCCGACCACCAGTGCGCCAGAAGGTCCCTGCGGGTGTGGCAAAGTGGAGGTGTCCAAAACTTCAGACGCGTTTTGAGCTCCAGATTCACTAAATGGGCCCCGAACCAAACGTGTGACCCCACCAATGGATTGCTCTCCGAAAGAGGAATCCATTGGTGGGGTCACGCACGTTTGGTTCGAGTCCTGTTTATAGCGACTCTGGAGCTCAAAACGCGTCTAGACTTTTGGACGCCTCCACCGGTCTTCTGGGCCACGTGAGGGCTACGTGAGGAAGGTCTGACCGAAGCCCGTGACGGCACCACCAGGCTGCCCCCGCTGCGTAGGCAACCCTGGCAGTCGCGCAGCTCTCTCGCACCACACGGGCTTTCAAGTCTCCCGCGTCTTTCCTTTTCGGACCGATGTGTGTGTGGAGAGAGAGAGAGAGAGGGAGAGAGAGGGAGAGAGAGAGAGAGAGAGAGAGGGGGGGGGGAGAGAATTGCCCTACTGACTTCGAGGGTAGCTGGCTGAGAGATAGGCAAACAGCAACACTCTGGGGCTACTTCGCCCCCCCCTCACCCCTCCGCAGGTCCCTCTGGATCCGCCACTGCGTATCTTCACGCCTTTTCACACGCGCCAGAGGGACGGGTGTGCGCAAAAATGGCCACCGTCACCGTCCGCACAGTGGGCCAGAAGACCGGTGGAGCCGGCCAAAACTCTAGACGCGTTCTGAGCTCCAGAGTCGCTAAATGGGACTCGAACTGAATGTGTGACCCCACCAATGGATTCCTCGTTTGGAAAGCAATCCATTGGTGGGGTCACACGTTCGGTTCGAGTCCCATTTAGCGACTCTGGAGCTCAAAACGCGTCCGGGATTTCGACTGCCTCCACCGGTCTTCTGGCCCACTGTGGTCTGCCAGCGAAGCTTCGCGTGAAATGAGTTCGGCCGGCCGCCAACACGCTGTGTTTCCTGAAGAATGGACAGAAACAGCGATTGGGTGGACAGCGAAGACGAGATTTATGACGTTAGACACGGCTCGCGGCGCAGACCCCCTCCCCATGTGTGGATGTTCCGTCCGAGCCATGGCTTGATGGGTCCGTGTCCAATTTTCATCATCTTGATAAATCCCTCGGTGTTGCGAATTTTAATGTGCAGCGCGGAATGGCACCGGCGGCGCGGAGAAGTGTAGAATCCCGCGAGCCGATAGGGTGGAAATTAAGACGAGTCGGGCGGACGGATGGACAGACAGACAGACAGACAGACAGACAGACAGACAGACAGACAGGCAGACAGACAGACAGACAGGCAGGCAGACAGACAGACAGACAGACAGGCAGACAGACAGACAGACAGGCAGACAGACAGACAGACAGACAGACAGACAGACAGACAGGCAGACAGACAGACAGACAGACAGGCAGGCAGACAGACAGACAGACAGACAGGCAGACAGACAGACAGACAGACAGGCAGACAGACAGACGGCGATGCACGCCGACGGACAGGCGGACAGACCAACGGCGACGGCGCTGCCGTTTGGTGCACGGCGCCGTGGGAGGATGTGGTGATGCGAGGCGCGGCTTGCCTCGCCTTGTTTCGCGCGGCATGTCCGTCACTCGGATCCACACTGGAAAAAAGAACAACTCAAAATGTGACCGAAATTGAAAACAAAGTCCTTTTTTAAACTTGTGAGTACACTGAGTACCGGCAAATTTGTACACACGAGTACACTAGTGATTCACTCGTCGACCGTTGTGCAATTTCGGTTCGTGTTTGTTCATTTCTGGGGACGCTGATTTATCTGCTGGTGGTGATGGAGACAACGATGGGGGCAGGCAAGTGTGTAAGAATACCGAAAATAATTTTTCGCACCGCCGTCCGTCGTCGCGCTGCGAACGCGCTGCGAACGCGCTGCGAGCGTCCGAAGGGCAGGTGGCTGCCAAATAGCTGGGCGGGGCCGCAAATCACTCTTCGATTGAGACATCTTCCCAAATATCCGTGCCGTGAAGAGGAATGCGCGGCACGCCACTGGCACGCCACAGGCACGCCACAGGCACGCCTGCTTCTCGCACGTATTCCGCGATCCCGAAGGACCCGAAGGACCCCGAGGATGCGAAGGACCCGAAGGGGCGGCGGTGACGGCCCCGAAAAACGACGAGAGCCGGCCAATCCGACAAACAGAATTCCGCCAGTTAAAATATCGGTGGGATTTCTGTACGGTCCACCTGGCGACGCCGGGTCCGCGGGTTCGACTACCGCGGCGATGGAAGTTGGATTCCTTTTTTTCCCCGCTCCTTTTCTTGCCGGGCGCGCGCGTTGCGGTACCCGGTCGCTCGGAGTCACAGTGGAGTCACAGGTCGGTTGATGAGATGATGGCTTCATTGCGTCCGGATGTCGTCAATCCTTTCAAGCCTTTGTCGATTTCGACATTGTCCGGTGGAGTGGGGGCGGCGGTGCGGCCGAATCCGTCACACCTCACCGGAAGACAGCGCGGTCGCTGTTCAGTGGCGGATCCAGACCTTTGGGGGCAATGTGGCACTTTTTGTGCAAATAGAGGGGCAAAGTATCCCAAAGTACGGCTTCCTGCGCGTCTCCGTGTTGAAGCTACGAGCGCACAGTGGGCCAGAAGACCGGTGGAGGCGGTCAAAACTCTAGACGCGTTGTGAGCCCCAGGGTCTCTAAATGGGACTCAAACCGAGCGTGTGACCCCACCAATGGATTGCTCTCCCAACGAGGAATCCATTGGTGGGGTCACACGTTCGGTTCGAGTCCCGTTTAGCGACTCTGGAGCTCAAAACGCGCCTAGAGTTTTGACCGCCTCCACCGGTCTTCTGGCCCACTGTGGAGCGGTTCTGAAGAAGAGTCTCCTCCAGAGTTGCCCGTCTGTCGGGGTTATGAACTCGCAACGTCCGCTCGCTGTACGCGAGGGAGGGTCGTCCGCTCATCGCATTGTGAATATGATTACGATAAGGCATCGAACGATTCAATTGCCGTCGCCACTTCCATCCATCAAGCCACCCATCTATCCATCCATCTATCACGGCCAACCTGCAATTACCGCCCATTACACGAGGGACTGGCTCATCAAACAGTCGCACCTCGAAACCCGGAGGAGAGCCCGCCGCCCACGCAATGCCGAGTTTTCAAACTGAAAAAAAGCTTAATCTAAAAATAAATAAGTTAAACAAAGAAGAACCTTAAACAAAAATAACAAAAACCTTTACAAAATAAAATTGGACAGAAAGAACTTCAAAGAAAATTTTCAAAAATTAAGCAAACCAACAAAATTAACAATTTTTTTTTGGATGTGTAATGCATTTGGCGGTACTCGAACCCGCGAACTGCAAGTCACAGCGCCGCGGACGCAATTTAGCGGCTGTCTAAGGTGCTCTGCTGGGCCATGCCTCGGCCATGCCGGCCATGCCACGACTATGCCACGCCGACGCCACACGACTGCTATGGCTGCGCCATGCCAGCGCTATCGGTTTGGACGCGGAGGCGCGCCAGCCGACGTCGGCTCGCTAAGTGAACGACCCGCCTCGGCCAAAAAGCATAAAATGTATTGAAATGTACCGATACACGGGCCGCGCGCGCAACGCGTCGCAAAGCGTTGCTAAGCGTCGCAAAAGCGTCGCAAAGCTGTCGACTTGCCTCCGAATAACTTCGGGAGGGATAACTCGGATCTCGTTCGGCTGCGCCTGCGCCACTGCTCGCATTATATTTAAATGACACATCACTGCGTTTAGCGTCTCGCCTTCTGGGAAGAGCGAGATAGGATTGAGGAGGTAGGCAGCCGGGCGCACGGCCGTGAGTTGCGGTCTCTCTCTCTCTCTCTCTCTCTCCTCTCTCTCTCTCTCTCTCTCTCTCTCTCTCTCTCTCTCTCTCTCCCCCTCTCCTCCCTCTCACTGTCTCACCGTGTGTTCGGATGCCACCCCCCCCCCCCCCCCCCCCCCCCTTTTCCTCCGGGTCGACCTGCAGCCCAGCCGACCTCCCCGCTCCTTTT